ATGCCTAACTTTCTCAAATTGATACTTTTTGAACATTCGAAAAAAACTCTAATATAATATTTAAACATTTATATTTATTACAGTTACAGTCGTTGTCTATCTAAAGACTTTACATTAGAAAATGAATTAAATTTATATCTGTGTTCATTTATTTTTTAAATAATTACATATTTTGTTTCAATAAAAAAAATCAACGATGTTTTCACATGTAGGTACTCTAATAATGGATATCCAGTACAGGGTTTACTATTCAATATTGGATATCCAGTATTGGGTACACTCTATTAACCAGGGCATGTATTCAAATCATCCTGTTAAAGTTGCAAAAGCAGGAGGCAAAAAAATCTAAACCGTCATCTTTTGTGATGAATGATCCCCATCTAAACAAATAATGAAACATTTAAATATGAAAGACACTACACAACCCATGATGTAGATACCCGAATATCGGATATCTAGTATTGTGGATACCTAGGTATCCAATATTGAGGTAACAAAGGTGAGGTATTTGTACAATACGATACAATACGATTTGTATAATACAATCGGTTACGAAAATTTCACCCTGCGCTATTATCGCTGAAATGCGTTAAGTTCTGTATTCTAACTATGCGCCTAGTATATAACACTGCCACAAAACATAATATGATTTACAGTGCTTTAACAGCGTTTTGAAGGCAGGATCTGAAAAAATCGTCACACGGAAAAATACACTTTGAATGTTGACATCGAACTAAAGGCAAAAACGGCGCAGACGACTAACAAAATATTGGTAACTTACATCATTAAGATGATGATGTTTAGTTATCATATAGCGGGGTATCCAGTATTGTGCCCGTATACAATATTTGGTACGTCTCTCTTACTCTAAGAATAGGTAAAGGCCAGTTTGTAAATATGAAGGAAATATGATGAAATCAGCCTGTAAAATTTGTATATACAATCCATTGCATTTCAGTCACTTTGTGTCAGTCACAATATCATTTTACTCCATCTTCATAAAACAGACTATACAGTAAATATCCGCCCAATATACAATTGCATAGGCAATAGTACATAAATCATTTTGTCAAATTAAAATTGACAAAATGGCTTTTGACACATTGCTTCTATAGTAATAAAGAATACTTAGAAACAAATTCATTACATTAATTAGAAAGTATAGAGACTAAAGCAACATTAATATTTGCACATCTGCTTACAGGTTGAATACAATGTACCTAATTTTACCTAAGATCTTTGTAATTACTGTATTCTGGCAAATAAACGTATTCTATTCTATTCTATTAAACGTTCCATGATTCCCGCCACGTCATTTCCGTTGGCAATTTGTTCCATTCACACGTGTCTGCAACGCGACAGTCGCTGTCTGGAAGTAATCTTATCCCTAAAGGTAGATATCAGTAGACATATATCTTTATTGTTTGTTTGGAGTAGGTAGACAAATTTCGTAAAATGTCGCATAGATTGTTATTATCCTATATACACATAACTTTTTTTTATAACACCAAGTGACGGGACGAACGAGAAGTGCGCCTGGTGGTAGATTTGGATAGACACGCCTGTTCATAGCAGTTGCAACTCAGATCTGTAAATCACAAAGATCTGTGGGGCGCTGCCACTGTAGCCGTCATCCTGAGACATAATTTAACAAGTCCCATGTGCCTGTGATTTCACCAGCACCATTGCCCTTCAAAACCGAAACGCAGCAATGCTCACATTATGGCTTTGCGGTAGAAATTAGTAAGGTGGCAGTACTTCCCTGGACGAACTATTTTACAAGGATTTCGGCTGCTTACTATTTAATGAATATCAAGGTATTAAAGACGTCATGATATTCAGTAAAACAAAAATAGCACAGTATTTTCAAGGATGAAGTTGTTTCAAGTTCGATAAATATGCATCTTTGGACATGTCTCTTTTTGTTTCCAATTCGTAAACATTTGATTAAATAAAGGATATTCTATATTGAGCGGGACAGTCCCGCTTTTAAGCTTCGTGTCGCTGTCCTCGAAATACTTAAAAGTGTCCCGCTTTTACTAAACAGGACACACGAGACAGTACATTTAGAAAAATATACAAAGCTGGTATACTACACAAAATTCAATTGTTTTTTTAAATTTTTAATCTAAAATAATTACAAATTTACAGGCGTCCCGCTCTAAGGGATAAGAATAATGGTCACGTTATGCATAGGTACATCGAGGACTTTGTGTCGTCACACCCATGAAGTTATCAGCGTTTCCTTTTTGGGTGACTGGGTTATTCTATGGGGGAAGTAGCTGTTAGTCTACTGGTCATCGGAGGTTTCAATGAAAGGAAATGATAGCTTCTTAACAAGAAGACCTGTGGTCTCTAGAGACTCCGAGTTGCCTCTGCAAAAGATGTTACGTAACACTGGCTGACTACTCTGTCAACGGAACCCGCACCACGCACGCTTGTGTAGACCCTGAAAAGGTGCCATCCCAAGTTATAAAATTATATCCCATTGTAAACAAAAACGAAATATTTTTTCAGAAATAGAACAAAAGGAAAAGCGAATGCAAATGGCGGCGAATAATAGTTTGCTTAAGTAAATAAAGAAATACGTAACAGTCCCGGTTATAGACACTTTAGACCAATGAAAAATATTAAACAATGTGAAGAGTAGGAGGTTGGTTGTATCAATTTTGTTGTTTGTAAAAAGAATAATAATTAATACACAAAAATGTAACGCCGGGCTCCATTGACTTACAAATAAATGGACGACGGGTCTAATACAACCTCGAAAAAAATGTCCCAAGTCAACCTATTTAAACGTAGTGACATGTAAAGGAATATGAAAAAGCTAAAACGTTGAATTTAAATTGTAATGTCATCGCAGTACTGTCTAATTTTGCTTGCTTCGCTGTCAGTCGAACAAACGAAGACTAAAGCGTGAATGACGCTCTGTATACGATTTTAACGCCCTATAAGTTCGGACACTTTTTAGCGCGGACCCGATATATCTGTCCATATAATTGTAAGTCAATGCCGGACTCCCTCATAACTTGTCGAATGTACGACAATCGCTTGGTATGTAATAAAAGTATTCTGACAATTTTTTTTATGATATCAAGTGTCTGTTGTTAAGCGACACGCCTGTCCATAGCAGTTGCAGTGCCACTCGGAGCTTTAAATCGAAAAGATCCGAGAGACACTGCCAATGCGCCCTTCACCCTGAGGTATAAGTTGACAACTCCCGTGTGCCCGTAATTTCACCAAATTTGATAAGTTTTTATTCCTATCGGCTTACTCTCTGGAAAAGTAAGCGGCAACAACAAGTTCTCCTTATTTACCATTTAAACTTTGTTCTATTTCGGAAAATTACTCGCATTGCAATTGGTGCGTAACATGGGCGTAACTATTGCCAAATATCTACTCTCCGGAATTTGCCATTTGCGACTCCCGTATAAGTATGTATAGACAAGTGCGGCGATCGCAAAATCGTTAGCGACGACGTGTGATGGGGTTTCGAACGGCGGCAATGACGTGATCGACGTGGCATATATATTTCGGGTGTTTAAAAGAAACTTTAGCTACCTTAAGATACCAAAGTGTCATCGAAAGAGTGGATAAGTATTTTTATCTGGGCCAGGAAATAAAAATGGGCAAAGAAAATCAACGCAATGAAATTTACAGACGTATGCGTTTGATGTGGGCAGCATACTCATAGCTGCTTTTAAAGTGAATCTCATGGCGGAACAAAAAACAAGAATATTCGACCAGTGTAATCTGCCAGTCTTAACTTATGATGTCGAAATCTGGGTGCCAACAAAAGACATAATTCACAATTTACCTACAGGTAGCCCAAAGTGTGTTAAGAGAGGAAACTGGTGGGAATCTATGTGGCTCAGACCGGGAGGTAGAGTCACTGATGTCACCAAACGCGTAACGAAGCTTAAGAGACGGTAGGCTGGTCACGTTGCTCGAAAGCATGGCTCCTGGTGTAAAGCGGTTCTCGAATGGGGTGCATAACGCCCCAGAGGGACACCGCAGATGCGTTGGAAGGGTGGCTTAAAGTAGGTGGCGGGGTTGAATTGGATACAGGCGGCACAGAACCGAGAGATGTGGCAGAAACTGAAGGAGGCCTACGCCGATATAGTTGAGAACGGCTAAAAGAGGAAGAAGAGAATCTTTAGATACCTTAAGATCGATAAGTATTTCACTAGGTGTCGTTGAAAAAACTCCATCTAACAAATACGGAAGAATTCGTAAGATTTTAAGAAAGTAGCGGAGTTATTTTGGTTTCAAATATAATAAAGAAGCTGAATTTTCGCCATAGGAAAATTGTCGCCAACTGCGACGCGGCGCACGTGTCTGGTATTGTAAGTTATTTATTATGCTGTAAATTCACCCAATAGCAATCTGATGTATTCTGAAGTACCATTTTCTAGATTTATTTCTCAATCGCTTTTTAATGTGTACAGGGAAAGGGATAGGTCAGATCGTTTTCGTGGCCATGGAAGTCAGTAGCAACTACCTAAATAAAATGTCGCTGCAAAAAAAAACAGTGGTCCTAGGAACCAATTTTATTTCTCCATTTTTAACTAAAACTCTTTGTTATGCGCATTGCGCTAAAATATAACAATAAAAACGGTTTCAACTGTAGTGGCATCTAGCGGCGCAATTGGTAACTACAAACCCAAGGTGTCACTCAAATTATTTTCAATACAAGTACTTCAAATTGTAACATACAACTATATTATTATATATGTATGTATTTGTTGATCAACGCGTATTTCTGTAGTGTTTAATAATTTGAATAATTAAAAAATATAAGTGGCTGTTTATTAGTAGCAATTGATGAAGTTTCGGATTTCCGGATGGGACAACTCGCGGCCTCTAGTGGCAAACGTGTCGAAACCCGAAGTTCAATTAAGACAAAAATAACTATTAATGATATATAATATAATTTTTTATACTAACTTTTATTTGTTTTTTATAAAAAACAATAACTTATTTTTATTATTTTGTTCCAGTCACGTGACGAGAACAGCGAGCTGGCTTCCGCCGGCCGAGAGCTGGCCGTCGTCAAGTCGAAATGGCAGCGGTAGTAGTTCGCAGGAACCTGAGGATTACGAAGACTTGCCCTTTGGCTGGGAGCAGGCACTCGATATTAGAGGGAAGTCATATTACATCAAGTAAGTATATTTTTTTTAATTCTGCATCTAAATACCTCCCAGCCTACACGGTAAAAACAGATTACTTAGAAAAAGACAAAATTCAGTTTATGAAGACAAATTTATTAAATCCAACAAAACGGTCCTCTCCCTATAGACGCTAGAGAATAATTACTTGATAATAGTAAAAAAACGTCTCGTAAGTGTATTTTAGTTACAAGACAGAAATACTTAATCCAAGAGCAAATTAATTTATTTCAAGTCGCAAAGCCACTCTAGGTTCAACAAAATATTTATTAGTTATTAGAAATGACCGGTTTTGATTTGAAAAAAAAAAGAATAAAAAATTGAGAGGTACTTAATTATTTGACAGAAGATTTATGTTTTCTAATATCAAAAAGCGTAAATTTATGGGTTATGGACCCAACAGTATGTCTCAATAGCGTGAAAGCACACAGTTCAGTGCCAAACCTTAAAGTAGCAGAAATAGGACGAATCTTCTCAAATACTTGAGTACCGTTAAGTGCCATATAAATGCTACAGCGGCAGAAAGCACTAACAATTCCAATTATATGAGATGATATTGTACTATTGAAGTTACCAAAACGATAGCGCGTTTCAGAGTACAGCTAATGCCATCTAGCAGTGGCGTGATGGAACTAATTGCATGTTAAAGTTGTGCTTGTTACAAGTGGAGTTTGATTTCATGCTGAAACCAATTTTCTTAAATTATGACTACAAATAACACCCTAACAAACTAGAGATACTACGTATTGTTTCTTTGGATAAATGACTGTTTATGATTTTTATGATTACAAGCACAAGTAAAAGTAATCATTACCGCGTGTGCCTTCGGCGACATGTCACGACAACATTGACTATGAAAACGCAACGAAATGTTGCTTTAAGAATATACTCTAGAATTTAGAATATTAATCTGAATAGCAAACTACTTCTTTCTTGTTTAAGAATATATTTTCTTAAAATACACCCAAGAAATTTTGAATTCATTTAAGATTATTTAAATTTGATGGTAAAATTTCTTGATGTAACTAATGTCCAAATTGATTAGAAATGAAATAAAATCTTGAATTGAACGTATTTGTCTCAAAGTTAGAATAAAGTTAAGAGTAAGTTGTATTAGAAAAAGATAAGCAGTATTTTTTTAATGACAATAGAATATTACTTTTAATAAATATTTTTTCAGAATTAGCAAATATTTTGAGAAATTGTTCTTTCTTATTAGTAGAAATCCTTTTTTTCTGTGTATAAGCAATATAATAAATTGGTCAGCTAATTTAAAAAAAAAAACCTAATGGCATATGGCTTTGGTTGATCGTGCAAGTGTTGAAGCAATCGCTTTGGAAAAAATATAAAGTAAAATTATCTGGTTATTTACAAGAAAACCGCTGTATTCAATAAGTACTTTACATATAACAACGATTTTTTATATATCAACATTTTTCAAATAGCTTTAAAAAACTAAACTTTGAAATAGGCCAGCGTCCCTGCCGCTCTACCCGAGATATAAAACCGATTTAGTGTGGGAAACATTTGAATTCGTGATAAGGTACTATCGACTTATAATGTATGGTCTGTAAATACCAAGCGAAGTTGGCACCGGAGTAAGGTATTGTTGAGGAATTCCGTGCATAGGGCTATTTGTAGAATGCTAACAACCTCCCAGGATTATATTACTAAATAAACAAACAATAACTTTTGTTCCAAGATATTTTACAAAAAAGTGATAAATATACCAAAAATAAACTTTTTCACGTCTCTAGCTCGGAAATCTGCTGCGTTTTTTACACGCTAGCGTGGAAAAGGTTTTTGAATTTGGAACTTGACGATGGACTATGGTGCACCTAACTTTTTCTTTCGTTGAAAAAAAAAAACGTAATTACTCGTTCAATTTCGCGATTTGTCGTACATTACATATTTATGTAATATAAATCCGTTGGTATATTTTGTTCTTATTATTGTTGACTAAATTGACTATGATAACCATTGACTTACAAATAAATGGACGACGGGTCTAATACAAAAACCACGAAAAAAATGTCCCAAGTCAACCTATTTAAACGTAGTGACATGTAAAGGAATATGAAACAGCTAAAACGTTGAATTTAAATTGTAATGTCATCGCAGTACTGTCTAATTTTGCTTGCTTCGCTGTCAGTCGAACAAACGAAGACTAAAGCGTGAATGACGCTCTGTATACGACTTTAACGCCCTATAAGTTCGGACACTTTTTAGCGCGGACCCGACGTCCATATAATTGTAAGTCAATGATGATAACTAATTGTGTTTAATCAGTTATTTGAAGTCGTCCAAGAACTAAAATAATTTCAGAAATTTTAAAAAATCACTTAATCACACGAAACAAAAGTACAAGCTAGAATAAAAATTGATGAGGTGTAAATTCAGAACGCATCCGAAGATAAAAAGGTTCAACTGTTCTTCTTTCTTTCATCTACCATTTTTCTTGCTATAGTGAGGTGAAAGGTTGTGTGTTTCGCTCGACAGCAAAGTTGTTTTGCGTCTCGTGTCTTGAAACCCTCGCTACGCTCGGGAATCGTAGCTTCATTCGCTTGCTCAGGTTTCATTACAAGCACTTGAGTCAAACAACGACTTTGCAGCCTTGCATAACAAATAACTATTATTAATAAGTTTTTGTTATACTATATAACACTTTTTAGCTCTGAATCTGGTAGTAAGATAGTAAGTTCAAACTCGCAAGTGTCCTCGTCGACGACCCCCATCCGCGCTCCTGCAGTTTGCACAGAATTATCACCGTTTAGAGAGATCTACGTACACATGTTTTAATTTTTATGCGAAAGAAAAAATGTAAAATAAAAAACTTTGAACTTACAGCCATGTCAACAAGACTACAACGTACGTGGCTCCAGAGGGCTGTTCGTGTGAGTCTCCCCCCGCACCCCGCGATGTGGTGTTGGAAAGGGACCCAGAGCTCGGCTTCGGGTTCGTCGCGGGCTCGGAGAAGCCTGTACTGGTGCGATTTGTTACTGACAACTCGCCTAGTGTTGGCAAGGTACATATCATTATAGCATTTATTAAATTATATATGAAAGGTTCTAGCGTCATTACACTGACCGTCGAAGTGTACTAAATACTTCCACAAGCGCCTTCGCTTGTATGTACTTTGATGAACAACAGAAATATTTTTGATTCACGACATCGAACAAGGTATGGAGACGATTAGATACAATTTGAAAATAACGGTTATAAAACCCATGTACAAAAAAGGTAATAAACAACTCATGGAATCATATAGACCTATAGCACTACTGCCAGTTTTTTCTAAAGTGTGAGAAAATTATTTATGAGAATTTATATGGTTACTTTGAGGCAAATGAAATTTTTTGTAAAGAACAAAAAGGTTTTAGAACAAACAGTTCAATTAATTCGGCGATTTATGACTTCTTAGTGAAATACATGCAAGAATGGATATCGGTTTACCGGCATTTGCTATGTATATGGACATGACAAAAGCTTTTGACTACGTAGACCATGACATTTTACTTGACAAACTTATTCATATGATGTAAGAGGTAACATACATAAAATGATAAAATCAATTTAAAAAGAAAGACTCAGTTGACCAAAATTAGTAGAATCAACATTCAAACAAGAACGGAAATGGAATATAACTCTGATACTAAAGTAACACTATATGGAGTACCGCAAGGTAGTATTTTAGGCCCATTGCTCTTCCTAATATATATTAATGACATGCCTAAAGCATCACTCAATGGTGCTCTATGCGGACGAGTGTTCAATGACATATATTAAAGAAAACGAAATAAATACAAATGTAAATTCATTAATAGAATGGCTTGAAGATAATAATTTAAAAATCAATTTAGAAAAAACAAACCTCATGAATTTTAGGTTGAGAAAAATAGCTAGTAAGATAAACGTAGAGTACAATGGGACACACATCGGAGACACAAATATAACAAAGTTCCTAGGTATACAGATTGATGACAAAATGAACTGGAAAGCACAATTAGAGAGTATTATCACTATACTCAACACTTATGCATATACATTATATATGCTTAGTAAAGTTGTAGATAGAGACTCGGTCCTTCAAGCATACCATGGTTATGTTTCGTCCATATTAAGATACGGTATAATATTCTGGGGCAACGCAACTAATGTGAACTCAGTTCTTAAGGCACAAAAAAGATGTGTCAGAGCAATTTGTCGATTGAAGAGAACAGACAGCTGCATACCATATTTTAAAGATCTTCGATTACTGACTGTTCCTTCACTTTATATCTATGAAACTGCCGTGTATGTCCGAATGCACTCGCACTTGTTCACATGAACTCTGAAGCCAAGACGATATGACCAACTTCGTTTGAAAGCTCGTAAAACTACCTTCATGCAGAAAAGTATTTTTGTAATGGCGCTAAAAATTTACAACAATTTATCGGAAGCACTAAGGTCTAATTTATCGGAAGCACTAAGGTCTGAGAAAAGCCTTATGCTATTTAAAAACAATTAAACAAGTTACTAACTGTTATAATTATTAATACAAAGATCGAACACTCAGAAAAAATTCCTT